GTCCCTTTAATCTGTCTCACTGTGGCGGTATGAGCCCAAGATAAAAAGATAAATAAAAAGATATTTCTGTGATTTAATGTCAATAAACGGATCAAAAGATGGTGATTTGTAAAAAGTCTGAATTCATACTTTGTCGGGTCGGTCTGCAAGGCGACGAGTAAACAGCTTTCAAAATGCTTGTTTTCGAATTGGACTTTGGTTGATCAGGGCTATGCTAACTTAGTTCATAGTAGAACTGATAAAAGACAGATATTTTCCAACTTCCTCTCTTCCTTTTCTCCGTGCAATCTCCTTGTCTGTCCACTCTCTGTATATGAAATAAACATAAAGTAGTATCATAGAGTCCACTCAGATCAGAGCAGAATCTGGTGTGACTGCAGGACTTTATTCCTCCAGAAGCTCCGGCTCTCTGCTGCAGAGCTCCCCGGGTTCAAGCAGCTGTCTGTGGGCAGCAGCAGCTCTGTCTCTCCCTCCACACACACCCCAACAATATATTCAACTCGCACAAAATTGCTAATGGGGCAAATTTTGTGAATTTGCACTGCTCACATCGCGTCATTTGGCCTGCCGTAAATTTATTTATAGTCTTTGCATTGACTTTGTATGTAAGCTACTCGCACCAATAGTTTAATTTGCAAAGGCAGCATTCGTCCTTGCACTGTTCCTACAATCACCAACTCTGCTGTCTAACCCTAGCACAGACATTATTGCATGGACATGTCTTTGCCTAAATTTATGACACTTGGAGTTTCTAAAAGCTCCTTCCTGTGCTAGTGGTGTAAGCAATACTTCAAGCTCTTAGACAGCTAACTAGCTAATAGCAGCTAGTACAGTTAGCATATGCAGCAGTGCAGTGTGTCAGTGCAACAATCCCATCGTCCCGGTGACAAGGCGCAGTTCCCATTTGACGTTTTTATTTTTCTGCGAATATCTGTCTAATGAAAACTGCGTCGACTGAGACTCATCTCATGGGCTAACAGTTTATTTGACTATTAGGGGGGCAGCCCTAGTCTGGATATATTAAATGAAGACAAATACTTATTTTAAATACTCAAATCAGAAGTCTTTAAAGATCCATTTTTGCACAGAATTGGGGATTCATGATGTGTTTTGTGTTTTGCAGGTAAACCCAACCTGACTCTGCCGCTGGTTTCTCATAAGGAGGCAGCCTCTCTACCGCTGAGCCCCGTAGACCCCCCAGGCCGGGCTCGCTCTCGCAGCCCCCTCAGCCCCCTCACCCCCCCTCAGTCCTCCAACGAGGGCTTCAACTGGCCCGACGTCAGAGAACTCCGCTCCAAATACTCCGAGAAGAGTTTTGTAAGCCGGAGTCGCTCTATCCCAGAGCAAATGTTTGACAGTGGTCTAAGGAGGCACTCCAGCTGCTCCTCCAGCCTCCTCCCTGAAGGAGCTTCTGGAGAGGTTCCTTCATACAAGCCTCGCAGCAGCCAGGACGCCAGCAGAGAAGAACGCAGAAAACGTCTTCACAGAGCCAATTCTCTGGACCCTCGGATGAGCGGAGCACAAATGACTGAGCTGCAGAAGCTCCAGGACCAAGTTGCAAACAGCAACTCCGACGGTTACTACGTCGCAGCCGAGGCGCCGCTACCAAACGACCCTGAACACAAGATCATCGTCATGGAGAAGCTTCCAGAGTCTGCGGAAACTGCTAAAGAATCCAAAGAAGAAGAAGAAGGGGATGATAAATACGTTCAGATCCGTTCACCGACCAGCAGAGAGAAGATCTCCATTATGGCTGTTATCGACCGCTGCCGGGTCTATCAGGAGTCTGACGAATATAAACAGAGGGAGGAAGTGAAAGCTAAAAGTGAGCCGGCGAGGCCCGAAGACCCGGAAGATCAGGACGACGAGTCCCAGAGTTCAAAGTCCGGACAGAAGCCTGAAGCCGGTCCGCAGAGCATCGTAAAGAATCTGAGAGAAAGGTTCCAGAGCCTGAGCTGAATAAACACAACTTCACACCAAAACTCTGAATTAATGAACCCAAAGATATATTAATACTTTTAAAAACAGGTTGTTAAAGTAGTGAAGAGATGATCCGCCTCAAGAGTTACCCAATCAAAAGATGAATTATTCTACAGCAGACAACTGTTAACAGCTGGAGAGGACAAGTCCTGCTTTATTCCCTCTGATTGTACGTCTAGAAGTTATTTTGAATCAGTGGCAAATATGTGTGAAGAAATACTCACAATGGATGTTTAAATGTGAAGAAATGAAATAATAAAACCCAAATTGTCATACATACTTATATGCATATATATAATGTATAGTGTGATTTGATATCCAAAGAAGATACAAAAATTACTTTCTCAAGACTACGAGAGCTTTTCCCAGCGTCCTCTCTGGCATTTTGTAGATAATTGTCTAGAAATGTGTAAATATCTTTATACTGTCCTCCAGTACAAGTTATTGTCAGTCACAATATTTGATAAAAGCACCTTTTTGTACAGGATGTTATTCTGTGTTGCTCAGAGAGATCACTACAGGAAGGGATTGGTCGTCTTGTAAAAGCTTCGTTGTTCAGCACAGACTTTAATGCTCCGCTGTTACCATTAAAGCTCACCTGTGTGGATTCCTGCTACAAGAGGACTAACCACTATATCTTACCTGTCAGGTCACTTTGTTCGGTCACTTTTCTAAAAACAACTCACAGATTCTTCTTCTGTTACGTTTCTATTACGTGAGTGGTCCAACATTTGGAGAAACGCTCATGTGAACAAGAATAAATGTCGGACTGAAATCTAAATGATTTAATGGTTTTCTTCTGGTTTTATGAAAAGTGTTTCTGGTAACAGTATGGAGGACCCAACCTGCTTAACTCGGAGAAAAATAAATTCAGTGAATGATTTCAAAACCTGCTCAAGTGCTGTTGTTCAAAAATTAAGTAATAAATAAAATGACTGTGGATTTATGTTCTTTCAGTAGGATTTATTTTTCCAATTGTGAAAACAATTAAAAGCAGTGATCTGAACTATTTTACCCTCAGTACAAATTATGATTATTGTGTTTATATATTTTGTGCCTTTTATTGTCTAATTTATGTTACATTTATTTGAATATTTGATTCACTTTGTTCATTCTTTACTTCCTATTAAGTCAGGTTTTGTTCTCCATACACACAGTTATATTTATATAATGCAGCTTTTAACAAATTAGTGAGTCGATTCTTTTTACTTGCCCAGTGGCACACTGGCAGATTTGGGACTTGAACCTGTGACTTCCCTTTAACCACTGGACCACCCTGCACATCATGTTTTCACTGTTAACAGCCAGGCTTGTACGTGTACCTCCTATTTATTTGACCTGGTGTAAATACAAACTGTCTGTCTCTGTCTCTGGTTATATGTGTGTGTGTATGTCTATGTACAAACATGTTTATATGACCTCAAATCTGTTCTCCATTAAAACCAAATGTACAGGATCAGTAGAGTGTGTGTGTGTAATTATTATGCATGTACAATATGATTGAGAATACACAGTCCCCATACAAACTGGAATCAAACCACTAACCTTGTGTTTATGGGCTGTGAGCTTTATCCACTCTGCCAGTGAACAGCAGATTATATCTGAAATATTTGCTACTGTCTATGTCTTAGTAGTTACACACCAATGCAGGTGTACTTAATCACTGAATCAAAGTTAGCTGAGGTTTTAAAATAAGCAGTATCAGTAGTAGTGGTAGTGGTACAAACAGCACTATCAGCAGTAGTGGTAGTGGTACTAACAGCAGTATCAGCAGTAGTGGTAGCAGTACTAACAACAGTATCAGTAGTAGTGGTAGTGGTACTAACAGCAGTATAAGTAGTAGTGGTAGCAGTACTAACAGTGGGGGCATTTGAATGGTTTCTGTGACTGAAAGCATGCAGGAGTAGTAGCTGACCAAAAACATACAAAACCATTAAAATAATCATAAAGACTACAACAGCAACATTACTAAAGCGTTCACACTAAAAAAGACTGAAGATAACAATGCAGCAATCACACAATCTTAACTTATTGGAAAGCACAAAAACTTAGGAAATAAAGTTAATATTAACATTGTAACCAGACAGTATAGACCTCTGCCCTGTATCTACACCATAGACCTCTGCCCTGTATCTACGCCATTGATCTCTGCCCTGTAGCTACAGCACTGACTGCTGCCTTGTATCTGGAGTACTGGCATGTGTAACTTAGGTATGAAAGACAATTAGTGTGAAAAAATATGAATAATATTATTAGTGTTACTATTATATGAATAAAATAGACAATACAGTTATAGGACCGGTATCTACAGCAAAACTGCAATAAAGATTTCAAGCATGAGTGGTCTAACTGAAATCATCTATATGAACATAAAAAATAGGCTATATATATAGGCTTAAGCACCTATAGCACATACAGTGTTTGGACTTGAGGAAGTGATGGAATGGATCAGATCACTTTTTTTATTCCTCCTGCAGGTAAAGTTAGAAACACGCAAGAGGTACAAAATAGAAGCGTCCCAAGGTGACCTTGACAGAGATCACCCGGTCTGTCAGTCTCCTGTGCCTCAGCTGGCCTCCTACTCTTATTGAAGAAGGATGCTGCTGTCTTTCTCTTCTGTATTTCTCTGACTTAATACAAATAGTATATAAACCTTACCATCATTACATAACAAATCCTAGAAAAGTTAACTAATGTTAATGTTACATCAGATACCCTGCTGGGATCAT